TGTTTTATCTTCTAGGTGAAAATGATAGCAAATTAAATTGACAGTATTATATGCTATGGTAATCACATACTGCCTAAAATTTCATTCTAATTGAGTCATTTTAGAATGTTTTCATTATATTTTCCTATTACAAATAATAAAAATAATGAAAGCTAAAACCCACTGTGCCTTTATTATGTGACAGGCACACTTATAAAAACTTTATAGGTATTAACTTATTTAATACTTAAAACTAAGTCTTCCCCTATTAGATAGGAATCTATCAAGATGAGAAGTCTCAGGACAGCTACATTTGTTTTATAATACACTTTGTTTCAGAATGCCATGAATTTATTTTACTTTATTATTATTGCTTATTTTGCCATCTTTACAGAATAATTCCTCAATACAATCAATGTAAATTTTTGGTTTCAAAAATTATATTCTGAAATGACTCAAATGTCTATCAACAGGAGGATGTAAAAACAAATTGCGACCTATTCATGCACTAGAATGGAACTGAGCAATGAAAAGTCACAAATTAAATGCATCAGCATGAATGAATCTCAACAACGTTGTTGAGAGCAAAAGAAGTCAGACGTAGAAAGAGACCAAATTGTAGGCTTCCTTTATTTAAAAAGTTCCCAAATAGAAAAACTAAACTAAAATGAAAAAAAAAAAAAGTCAGAACAATTTCATTTCTGGAGATTTAAGGGGAAATGGTGAAAGTTGACTGGAATGGAAATATGGAAACATTCTTGTGAGAAAAAATTCTTCTATGACACCCTAGGGTTATGGGTTATCCGGGAGTATCTTTTTTTCAAAACTATAAGGCTGAGCTTTGTGCATTAGCATATGTGATATTTTACCTTCAGGATAAACAACTGTAAATAGAGTAATTATAGTAGTGATTGAGATGTTGAGAGTAGACAGAGGTATATGTGGTACTTGAAAGGAAAATGTTGATAAAAGTTGAGTGATGGCTACATGGGCCTCTATTTTATTATTGTTTCATTTTATATATATGAAACTTTTAATTTAAAATATAAAATTTTTTAAAAGCCATTTAAAGTATTTTCCCTAAAGGCTTTAGGTCATTGTCATCAATACTTGGTTAAGAGGGACATAATGTTTCATACTATTCACAAACATAAAGTATTAGATAATAAAAGGAAATTCAAGAAGAAAATTTATACTAAGATAAAACTAGCTCTAGACAATATTTTAAGAAAAGAGGGGCTGGGTACGGTGGCCCATACCTGTAATTCCAGCATTTGGGGAGGCTGAGGTGGGTAGATCACTTGAAATCAGGAGTTCGAGACCAGCCTGGCCAACATTGTGAAACCCCATGTCTACTACAAATATAAAAATTAGGAGGGTGTGGTGGTGTGTGCCTGTAATCCCAGATACTTGGGAGGCTGAGGCACGAGAATTGCCTGAACATGGGAGGCAGTGGTTGCAGTGAGCCAAGATAGTGCCATTGCACTCCAGTCTGGGCAACAGAGCAAGACTCTGTCAAAAAAATTTAAAAAAGAAAGAAAAGAAAGAAAGGAAGATGGAGGGAAGGAGGGAAGGAAGGAAAGGGAAAGGGAAGGGAGGTGGGAGGAAAATCGCTTTCCTTGATTTGTAAATTTTTAATAAGCAGTGATTTTTTTTCCTGAACTGAACCTACTCCTGAGGTGAAAAATAGACAATGTTTCCAGCTTTTTTCCAAACTTTTTAGACTTTTTTTTCAAATTACTTGAACAGTAATTTCCTGTGTGTGTGAGATACATAGATAAAGCTTATTTTTTGCAACTATCTCATCAAATCTCCTATTCACAATAAAGTTATTTCCATGCCGAGTACATGGTCTTAATAAAAATTGTGTTATGAAAGCATAAAGTGGGTTGTATAAGTAGTGTGTGAATATTGATTTCAGTATTACACTATTGTATTTCTTGATAATGCTAGAGAAAATGTAATTTGCCATGCATTTATATAAGGGCTAAAATAATGTGTGGGGTCATCTTTATTGTGCATTCATGGCTCATATCAGTTTAAAGCCAAAAAAGTATTTTTCTCCATTAAAAAGCTTATCTCATTCTAATATTGCAATTCAGATTTATTTCAGTAGGTTAATCATAGCAACAGAAATGCCATTTATTCTAACACATTGGAAAAAACTGAATGGACTCATTATTTAGTTATTATCAGTTTCTAATTCTGAATCCCTATGGGTTTTCAAGCAATGTACTCTAGTACATTCAGAAACAAAGAGAGGATATATTTATCCCAAAGCAGTTTGGCTAATGTGTTGGATATTTTACAACTATTTTCTTGGCTACATGTCATAACACTGAAAAAATTTACAGAATCATCTATTTAACACCTCAACACCACCTGTGCTGTCTTAACTAGAGGTCAGCAAGCTTTTGCTGTGCCGGATCAGAGAGTAAATGTTTTAAGTTTTGCAGATAATAAATTATGTGTTGATTCAACTCAGTCATTGTAACAAAAGCATTCATAAACAATAAAATGAAAGGACATAGCTGTGTTCTCTTAAATCTTTATTTACAAACTTAACCTGCCAGCTGCAGCCTGCCAACCTCTGCTCTAGACCTGTGCATAACAAATTTCAGTGTGCATAAAAGTCTCCTACAAAGATTCTCATTCAGTAGGTTTGGTGAGGAGCCCAAGAATTTGATTTTTGAACTAATTTTCTGTATGATTTAAGCTACATGACTTAAACATTATGCACCTCATTTTCTATAGCTGTAAAAAGAACTCAAGAGTTTCTTCCCAAACTGCTCAACACATTTTGTAAAAATTGAGCAGACTAATATATGTAAAAGTTAATAAGTAGCATACAGAGTAAGAAATAAGCATTATTAAGACAATTTATTGAGAATTTCTTCCCACTCGACTACCTATGTTTTCCCAGTTCTGTACACCAGAATCTCAATGGTATGTCATAATAGATCCATAATAGAGTCTACTTCAAATACCCTTATTTCATAGTTTCCAAGAACATGTTAAGATATATTAGTTTCTCATTATTGCTGTAACAGATTATCACAAACTGAGGAGCTTCAAAAAACACAAATTGTTCCTCTCAGAGTTCTGGGGGTCAGAAGCCTAAAATGAATCTTATGAGATTAAAACCAAGGTGTTAGCAGAAGAGATTCCTTCTGGAATTTCCAGAGTGGTATCCATTCCTTGCCTTTTCCAACATTAGAGGCTGTCCTCATTCTTTGACTCAGGGCCTCATATCACATCACCTTTTATCCCCTTTATTTTTTTCTCATATACCTTTCTTTTGTAAGGACCCTTGCAATTACATTGGGCCCACTTGGGTAATTCAGAATCACCTCTTCATCTCCATATCCTTGACTTGACCACATCTGCAAAGTTCTTTTTACCCTGTAAGTTAGCATGTTGACAGGATCTGGTACCTAGGACATGGATATTTTCGGGGGACTGTTATTCACCCTAACACACAAGAGTATTAACAAGGTAAAAATAAAGTTGGCGGTGGGGATGGGGAATTGAGTTTTCCATGGAAAGAGATTGATAATGGACAGGACATAGACTTCTGGAACTTTCTTGTCAGAGTTACCAATGTTTATAGAGTCCTAGAGCAGAGAGGATAAGGTGTCCTTTAAGAGGAGGCTTTGCCCAAATCTGAACCAATAGCACCAGGGAAAGACAAGCCTAACTAATTTGGAGAGTTCATGGTATCGATGATAGAAAGGCCTAGGTTGTCTATAAAACTGAAAATGGACTAACGAACATTTCAGCACCTTTTCCCTTAAGCCAAGTCCTCTAAGTCCTTAAGCCCTTTGTATTTAGGTGGATTGTGTCAACCTCAATAACACACAGAGAGGGATACTCTCTAAAAGAAAATGGTATGTATTTGAGAATAGATACTGCAATGGAAATACACAGGCCATAGTAAACTATGAGCATGTTCAGGAAGGTAAAAGAAGACAAAGGATTTTAAACAAAAAATTTAAAAAATATATAATTATTTTGAGATAATTATAGTTGGCTACAAAGGTTAATAAAAAGGTGGCACCAGTTCAAGGTTGGGCAGGAAGTTGTTTGGCAGCTGTTCTTAAGAAGCATTGTGTGTGTGTGTATGTGTGTGTGTGTGTGTGTGTGTGTGTGTGTAAGTTTGTAATGATATTTGCTGAGATTGTGTTTTTTTGCAGTCTTCTGTGATAGTTTTTGTTATCAGGCATTCATGTGTAAGAACTTCATGGCCTTCCCTAGCTCTGTTTTTCAGGATTTTAGCACAAGTGATTCCATTTTGATTCTTACAGCTTTCAGACATTTCCTCCATTTGATCAAGGTCTTTACCCAAATGCACTGCTGATCAATTATCCTGTATATAATTTTGTCCCTTGGTTCTGGGATGAACTTGTCCTGGTTTGGTCTGGTCTAGTCCCACATCAGAGACAGTAATTGATGAGTAAGTCAGTGTCAAAACTTCTCTATCTACCTTTGAGCCACAAAGGAGGTTTGGAGGCAGTGAGTCTCAGGCTAAGGTTAGCTGGGTCCATGGTAAGCTCAATATGTCTGTTTCATAGGTATTTATTACCATCTCAAAGCACTAGGCCTGCATTATTCTCTTAGGGATTGTGCCTCTGAAAAAATTTAACAAGTAATAAGAACAAAAATTAAAATGAAAAATGCAAAGAAAAGTTAATAATAATAGAATAATCTCAGTTTACATAATAGTTTGAGCTGTAAACCTGGGCTTAAGGGCAACCAATTTAAAAAATCAAATAATTGTGGGGAATTAGGTGAAACCTTTTTTTTTAAATCATGTGGCCTATTTTCTTATTTTTTTGTATATAGACCTGATCTTTCCCAGAAGAATTTGTCCAGATGCAGCATATAGTGTTAGTAACAGCACAGACATTTCCTTGTTTAACCAATAGATTACATAAAGCAATTTTATCATCTAGTATCCATGACTAGGTTGTACTCAAGCAGAGAGTGAGCAATGGCTGTATAAGAAATATTCCCATACTCACCCACTAGGTAGACTAAAGCATCTCATAGATCAGGTTCTGTCAAGTTACCAGCAGAAGCTACTGAATGTGAAATTTCAATTACACCATTATCCTGCCAAGTGTAAAAAGTAGGCATTAACAGGGGAAAGAGTCTCATTACGATATGGAGTCTCGTTCCAATGTCTTGGAAAAAAGCAATCTACAGCGTGAAGCTATCAACTTATCATCCTAGTTTGTAGTTTGAATGTTTCTGGTTATGGCACCAGGCAGTTTGGTGAACGTTCTGTGTGACCCATACATCAGGCATGAGACTTATCCCTTAGAATTCAGCTGGCTTCAGCTTATACAGCTTCAGTGCAGGGCAGTTCCCATTTTTAGTAATACTATGGAAGTGATCCTGGGAGGAGACTGGAGTATTATAATGAGCAAAAGGCTATTCCTGGGCAACTTATTAGAGGAGTATACATCATGCTTGCTAATTGAGAAAAGCCCCTACCTCATTTATCCCCAGTTAGAACTGAATAAGTCCCTTGTAGGTCACAGGAGCCCAGCCACAAGGACAGGTGTAGCCACTGTGGCCATGGTTCTCTTTTTGCTGACTGTCAGCATCTCCAAGGATTCTACAAAAGGGCTGCATTTCTAAGAATTCTTTTTTCAGGGAACTGCTTACCTGCTCATGACTACTTGCCTATTCTAACACAAAAAAAGTAGGATTGGAGAAATCTAGAAGAATTCAAGATCTAGTCAGCTTAGAGTAGAAAATAAGAACTGTAAAACAATGCCCAGGGCTGAGGTCTCATAACAGGTGTATTCTAGCTTTTCTTTAGAAACATAACACTTTTCTCTGTATGTTGATCACATAAGAATCTCAGATGGAAAAATCATTTGAGGCTTGGAAGCCAAACCTAGGCAGATTTCAGATTTTACCTTCAATCTTGAAGTTTCCAGGACTGTCAAGAAGTACAGTTTTTACTCACTCACAGTAAGGCTTGGAACCCTTAAAGCTGGGCATTCTATGCCAGTTCTCAAAAAAGATATCCCAGTCAAGGCTTTGTATTATAACAAATACTTCCAAATGTATGATTTTATAAAGAGATACCAAAATTGTATTAAACTCACACAAATAACCATATTGCCACAAGAATACCCACACATAGTTTACAAATTTCAGAGGGATCAAATAGAAAAAGTAAATGTTTCCACCTTTATTCACAAAAACAGATTTTACCAAATTGCTGTATAAGCTACAGATAGCTTACAAGAAAAAGTTTCCTTAAATTTGGAAAATAAAACATTTAAGTAAAGAATCAACCATTTCAAAAAAGTCATATGATTTTTATCTTCATCAGTTAATCTCTGTAATTTTTGTTCTGCTTGATATTGTTCGGAAGTTTCTCAAATTTGTCAGTTTCATCATTATAAAATTTTTTTAATATTGTTGATAAAAAAAGAAAAAAAATTATATTGTCTTTGGATCTTAAAGTTTTTAGAAACCTATACAAGAGTACTTCTGGCTGGGCACAGTGGCTCGTGCCTGTAATCCTAGAACTTTGGGAGACCAAGGTGGGTGGTTCAGGAGGTCAGGGGTTTGAGACCAGCCTGGCCAACATAGTGAAACCCCATATCTACTAAAAATACAAAAAAATTAGCTGAGTGTGGTGATGGGAGCCTGTAATCCCAGTTACTTGGGAGGCTGAGGCAGGAGAATCGCTTGAACCCCAGAGGTAGAGGTTGCAGTGAGCTGAGATCACGACACTGCACCCCAGCCCAGGTGACTGTGAGACTTGTCTAAAAAAAAAAAGAGTACTTTTAGTCATTTCCATGGATCTGAATGCAATGTAAATACTTTTTGAGAAACATCAAAACTGTAGATGACAGATACAGATGAGCCATAGTTAAAAATCTGATGAAAGTTTGTTATAATCAGCAATTGACAAGAACATTTGGTTATTTTTGTAATATACAACATAATCAGAATTATGTCTGATGCCATATTAGGTTTCTAAACTTTTTATACAATTTTGGATTATTTATATAAATAACATACCCATAAATGTAATTGAAAGGGTATCTAGCATCACTTATCATTTGATAATGTTTCTTATATATCAAATTAATGTAATGATTTAATATTGCTATAGGATAAGAGTTACATTTTTTGAGGCTCTCTGAAGGCCCAACTGAAAAATTCCAAAGTTACTTCAAGGTGAAAAATAATTAATTTAGATTTTTGATGCTGAGGAAGCCCATCAAAAATGCCAAAATGTTCAAAACACTTCATCAAACAGAATTGCAGGTAACTGTGAAATAATAGTATTTATTTAAATAGAGTGATAATCAAAGACTTCAAAAAAAAATACAGAAAGTACGTGACTGTAAAAACAAAACAAAATAAATTTAACCTTTTCAAAGTTCAGCCTTCCTAAGTTATCAAAAAATCTAATAAAGGCAATAAGGGAATTATCTTCATAAAACATAACATACTTGTTTCTTATGCCAGTTACCAAAAAGAAAAAAACCAAACCTACTGAAGAGTGATTGCTTCTCCTTAAAAAAAACTCATTTAGGTAAACTGGCAGGTAAACCTAGTACTTAAATTTAATCAGACATAGTAAGAGAGTGTCTAGGGTTATGACCATACAACATAATACAGAGGAATGTAAACAAGAAAAATAGGACACTGAGCAAGGGAATACCTGACTCTTACTAACAACATGGGAAGTCTCCTGGTTACATGAAAAGAAAAATTAAAAACATCAAGAAATGCCAAGAGTACACAATGAAGTTAGGCTGGAGAAAAACTTTGCTTTTCTAGGCCTTCAAAAAAGAACATTTCAGCATCAGGCCATAACAGCAGAGTTAAAACTAAAGAAAAAATTATGGGAGCTGATGAAAAAGTTGAAGGAAAGAGTTATGAGCACAGTCAAGCAAAAAGATGTACCTTCTCAAGGGGAGAAAGAGGAAGAACAGAAGGCAATGAAGTATGACCTGCAATTCACATAAAGTTAGATAAAGCAAAAGTTGAACTTCTGAGATAGAAACTTGAAAATCTTCAAGAGGAAAAACCTACCTGGAGAAATAAAATAATTAATCTAAATAAAGACAGCATTTTCAATCTAAATCTAGAGAAATTAAATGTATCTCAGCAAGAAATGCAGGGTAAATCGAAACTAAAACAGGAAGAAGCTACAGTTTAGAAGATGGTCGAATGGTTGAAATTGTTTTAAAACACATTTCAAAATTAAATCAAAACCTAGCAAATTTTACTAAGAGCACATCAACACTTCAAGAAAACTTGTTTTAACACAGGGAACCAAATGGTTTTGTATTACTGTATTTTTAATATCAAAGCTCAATCTTTTGAAATACACACAAATAATTATCTTATAGCCAACCTGATCACACAGAAAATTTCCATTATAAATTCGTCTTTCACAAACCTTCCATTACTTACTCAGACATTCCATGACATGATCAGAACTTCAGCTTTGTCCTATACTTCCTCTTTCTTATATAAGCAGTCATTTGAATTTAGGGCAAAAATTGCCACATAAGATTCTTTGTCATGGAAAAAAAGTCATTATTATTTTTTAACCTACCTTACCAAAAATACATCTTCATATGTATAATTTTCTTCATATCTCTCTGTTCTAACTGGTTCTTTTCCATCATGTTTCAACTTCCCTCATAAGTCCATATTTTGATATAAATTTTCAATAACCTCTGAATATAGATAAAATTATTCTTTTGTTCAGTAAGGAATGCATTTTTATTTCTTATACTTTTTCTTATCAAAACACATCTTTTTTGAGTCACTTTCTACACAGAATTATATATCTTAATTAGAATTTTTAACTGTTAAAAACCTCTTTTCTAGCGAAAACCTAGGAAGTAATACATTTTGCACTGTCTGCCACTTATCAATATTATCTAGAAAAGAACCATTTTATAATTTTTTGGAAACATGCTTCCCTGAAACATAATTGTTAGGTGAATTAATAGACCTAAATGTGTAGTTTTTCTATAAAAATTAAGAAGCCAATAATAAGCGTATAGTTATATTTAGAAATGTTTGTTTAAGCATTTTTTCTTATTTAGAAGTGACTCAGACATTTAGTAAGTCTATCACTTAATGTAAAATAACATAACTTCAGAATTTCAAAGTTCAATTAAGGGATTCAAGATGGCTGATTACAGGCATCTGGTACTTGCCTCCTCCACAAAGAAGAACCGAAATAGCAAACAGGTAACCACACGCTGAATAGATCAACACCGGACTTCAGTAAAGAATAGATCTATACAGAACACCAGACTTCAATAGAGAAGTGACAGGAAACACCTGGAGTGGGAGGGCGGTCAGGCGCACACTGCAGCTTGCTCAGCAGGAGTCAGACCTCAGCCTGGAGCCGCTCCCCGGTGTGAGGAAAGGGTAAGTGAATGACCCCACTGGTTCACATTCCCACCACAGACTCTCCCATCCCAGCCACGGAAAAGCCCCTAGACCCTCAGAGGCCCTGAGACTAACATAGGAAGCTGCTTGGAGACCACACAAAGGCATTGCTCAAGAGAGCAAGCTCACACTGGGTCTCACACAACCTCAGCCCTAAGCAGCTCTGGACAGCAAGACCTATTGAAAGCCCAGGTCCCACCAGAAGGTACCTTATCTGCTGTCCCAACAGTCCCTGCATCTCCGTGCTTGTGAAGCCCCGTTGACATTCCCTACCCACAGCCACCACCACAGCTGGCTGGCTGCTACCTCCAGCTCTAAAATGTGAGCCATTGGCAACGACCCGGCCGTCCTCAGCAGGGAAGCCAGGACCCATTTTCACTTGCCCCAAGGACAAGCTTACCTGCCCACAGAAAGAATCTGCCACTGAGGGCCACCCCAGCCAGGGCTGAAATGTGACTGAAGTACATACTCCCAGGTCATCTGGCCTCTACGTCCCACAGCCGGTGCCTGTTCATGGCACGTGGGGGCCTGAAGTCAGGCTTTCCTGCCCTGGCTCCACCCCTTGGTACCCAGGCACAGTTTGGACACTTTATTGTTCTGTTTTGTTTTGTTTTGAGGCGGCGTCTTGCTCTGTCGCCCAGCTTGGAGTGCAATGGTGGGATCTCAGCTCACTGCAACCTCCGCCTCCCAGGTTCAAGAGATTCTCCTGCCTCAGCCTCTCGAGTAGCTGGGACTACAGGCGTGTGCCACCACTTCTGGCTAATTTTTGTTTTTTTTTAAGTAGAGACGGGGTTTCACCGTTTTGGTCAGGCTGATCCACCCGCTTCTGCCTCCCAAACTGTTGGGCTTACAGTCGTGAGCCACCATGCCAGGCCCCTAGGCACTTTTATATATCTCTCTGATAAATGTTTCAAAATCGTAAAACTATAAAACAAGCCTAAAAATAGGATTTTGTTTGTGTAACACTTTGATAAATAAAACCAACATATAAAAACAGCTATATCTTACGAGTTATTAGCAAAATATCCATGTATTTCAGAGGGGTAGAGCCACCACTGAGCTGAACTAACCAGCTCAGTCCACCACTATTGACACCTGTGTTTTCCTACTGGGGCCCTAGGTTGGATCCACCCAGCCTGCCACTACCACCATAGCAGCCACACCCCGCGCGCAAGGACTGCAGGATGGGGACTGGCATATTCAGCCCATCACAGCCACTGCCAACACCAGCACAGACCACTTGGGACTCAGAGGGTATTTTACATGTATCTAATTTAGCTTTAACCATTATACTTAGTTTACTTACGAAAATTGAGATATTAGGCTAAGCTAGTCATCATTTCAAGTTTCTCTGATAACCCTTTCTCTAGCTTATGATTATCAGGTGATCACCTAAGTGAGACTCTGAAGTATATGGGTATTTTGCCAATAACTCCTAAGATACAGCTGTTTTTAATTAAACCAACACTATGAAATTGGTGGTCTTATTTATCAGTGTTACCCAAACCCAAATCATCCTGTTTTTAGGCTTGGTTGATAGTTTTATGATTTTAAAACATTTATCAGAGACATATATAAAAGTATCCAGGGGCCAAGCACAGTGGCTCATGCTTCTAATCCCAGCACTTTGGGAGGCTGAAGCAGGTGGATCACCTGAGGTCAGGAGTTCAAGACCAGTCTGACCAACATGGTGAAACTCTATATCTACTAAAAAAATTTTAAAATTAGCTTGGGCATGTTGGTGGGCATCTGTAATCCCAGCTCCTGGAGAGGCTGAGTCAGGAGAATTGATTGAACCTGGGAGGCAGAGGTTGCAGTGAACAGAGATCACAGCATTGCACTCCAGCCTGGCTGAAAGACCAAGACTTCATCTCAAAAAAAAGAAAAAAAGAAAAAAAAAAGTTTCTAAACAGTAAGCCCAAGCAAAAATGAACATTGACAATTCCGAAGACATTTCTATTTTTATTTCATTAACAAATTTTAAAACAGCTTACTGATCAAAGATGCTTCAATCACATTTTAAAAGGCCTTTGCGTTAATTATTGTACCTTTATTCCTCTGTTTTGAGTTTTTTTTTAAAATGAGTTTAAGGGTTAAATCTCTAAATATTTATACTTTAGTTGGGACTGGCTATTTTTCTTTTGTTATAAGAAAAACAAAACATCCAA